CGGCCGCCGAAAGTTGCCCCCGAGACCCACAGCCGATGAGGAGGCACCCGTGGGAGAGCACGACGTTGTGCTCGTCTCGGGCAAGCTGCGCTGCGCGAGGTGCTTCCACGTGGCCAAGTAGGCCAAGGAGCTGCGGCAGGCCCCGTGTCGGCCTGTGGTAGGCCACCGCCTGCGGTGCTCGGGGCCGCTCACCCTTTGCGGCTCCTGCGGAGCCCACTCGCGCGACAATGCGCAGCTGCTTGCGGCCGACTGCCGCGGACAGTGCCCACGAGGCCCGACTGCGCGACGGCGCCCCGGTCGCCAATGGGGCGGGCGCCACCCCCGCGCCGGGGCGAAGCATCCTCTCGGCTCGGGGCCCACCGCCCCGACTCCGTTTGGAGGCTTTGCCTTGGACATCACAAATTTGGGGACTTTGAGGTTCTCCCCGACTGGCGAGGTGGTCGCAGGCCGGGTCGTCCGTTGCGGGCGCGGAGGCGCCCGCCCGCACGGCGCGCGCCGCTCGGCGGCGGTGCCCGCGGGCATTGATTTCGCTCCGCGAGGCCCGTCGCCGCACTCGTGCGCCGTCGTGGCCACGCCCCAGTAATAGCAGCTTCTCGCCCCCTCTTTCGGCCGCCTCCTTTGCCCTGTCCCTCCTCCTGCATGGTGGCACAATTCGCTACCAAGGCGCCTCCGTCTGGGTAGCTCTTTCTTCGCCAGCGCAGATACTTTGCCTAGCAACCGACGCAACACGCTTTGCCAGCGGACAGATGAGTGGGTGGTCCCGCATCTGCCACGCGCAGGCCGTCTCCGACATGCCTACGCTGGATTCAGTGGAGGGATTGGCGATTGTTTGGGCGTGCGGCACCTCAATGATTTCGGTTGCACCGCTGAGGGCATGGAGGATATGCGTCGGCCCTCTCAGGCTTCGTCCTGTGCCGAAGGTGGTCCAGGTCAGGGCTACTACCAGTGCCTTCAAGTGGCTCGCTGGGTAAGGAGCTGATCGGCTGTCTCCTCGTGCTATCAGTCTCCTCACGGACGGCACAATTGCTCTTCTGGTGTTCATCCTGTGGCTGGTCGAGCACTGGGAGAGGTGGCCGACGAAGATGGTGGCCGTTCATATCGCGCCGCCGGCCAAGCCGAAGGGTGGGTGGCAACCCATCGCGCTGCAAGCGACCTACCGCGTCTGGCCTCAGGCGCGTGCGCCCCAGTTGCGGGCTTGGCTCTTCGAGCATGACAGGCCCTACTTCGCGCTGGCGACGGGCAAGACCACGCTGGATGTGGCAGCTCGGGCCCTGCTGTGGGCCGAGGCGTCGCTCGCGTCCGACGACAACGTCGTCTCCGCGATCGTGGACATGAAGAAGTGCTTCGACCGCATTTGCTTGCGATGGTTGGTGGCCGCAGCGGCCATGTATGGTTTCCCGAGGCAACTGCTCTCCGCTGCCCTGGCCATGTACCGCTCCCCATCGGCGCCTGGTGCGGCTGCAGGCTACGTCGTAAGCAGTGGTGGTCCAGCAGGGGGTGCTTCCTGGTTGCAAGTTTGCCATGGCGTTTGTTCAGTTCTTGATGCTGTCAGACATGGATCAGTTTATAGTGGAGGCGCGGCTACTGGAGCTGTATCCTGGTGTTGGTTGTTCTTTTTCCCTTGGTATATACGCTGATAATTCGGCCCTGCAGGTGATGGCCAGGAGAGAATGTCTAAACTTATGGCGCGTGAGGATATCCAGCTTTTGCGCGACGCGCTCATCGACCTGGGGTTGCCCGTCGCCAAGTCCAAGCCATGCTCGTGGTGTCTCGCGCCAGTGTCGACTCCGTGGTAACCTCCAAGTTGAGGCGGCATGGTTTTCGGGCAAAGGCTTGGCTGGGGTCCTGGGCCCTGGGGCTGGATGTCGGAGCTGGGAAGAAGTCCACGGGCCTGGTCCTGCGTCGTCGCGTGCGTAAGCTTGGCAAGCGCTCCTGGCACTTCCACAGGCTGAGCACGCTCGGGGACAAGTTCTGGAAGATTGCACATGCAGCAGTTGGCCCGGCCATCACCTGCGGCTTGGGCGTCGCCGGTGCTGCCCCGCACGTCGTCAAGCGCATGACCTCTCTGGTAAAGCAAGGATGGCAGGCCATTCCACCTGGTTGCTTCCATTGGGTAGCTTCGCGGCTGGTTCCTGCTCCTGACCACCAGCCTGCCACCATCGCCATCGTCGGCCCCACCCACAGCTGGGCGGTCATGATGCATGCTGGTGGCGTGGGCATGGATCCGATGCAGTTGGCATGGAGGATTCAGTTTTTGCTCGATTTCCTCGGTGTCCTTGGATATCAACTGGAAGTACGTTCGGGGCCCCGCGGGTGCCTTTGTTCGCTTGTTGCCCACGTTGGGGTGGAAGTGTTCCTCTGCTTTGAATTCGTGCGCGCGGAACGGTGAGGCTCTGGACCTGAGAGAGGTTGCCCCAGCATTGGTGATGTGGATCGCGCTCAAGGAGACAGAGGCCCGACGTCATGCCCGAGATCCCTGGCCCTTTGCACAAGGATCCTGCCGGCGCCTGGCTGGCACCGATTAGAGGTATTCTGCATCCTGGCCCTGAGGCCAAGTGCTGGGCGTTGGGTCCTTTGACGAGGGCAGCGCAACGTGCCGCAGTGCCTTGGAGGGCACTTCTTTTAAACAAGGTTGCGTTTGCATGCTGATGCCGAGGGCGAGGATTGCGCGCGTGGCACGTTGCATCACAGGTACTGGGCGTGTCCTATGTTCGATGACCTGCGTGGGCACGCGGTGGAGAATGCCATTATTGCCGCTGCTCGCGGCACGGTTCCTGGTGATCTGTTGTGCTCCCGCCGCTGTTCCCCAATTCTATATTGCCTGCCTTTCTCCCTGGAAATGATAGCGCGGTTTGGCGCTGCGACCGTGGTGCCAGGGTCGAGGGCCGCCTTAGTGTGACGGTATCTGTCTTTACGGACGGCTCTTGCAAGACGCTTCTATTGGCCGACGTGGCTGACCGTGCTTTCTGGGTCTCCGTGGTGGTGGGGGATGGCAGGCGCTCTGGCGCCGCCTTTGGGCCTCGCCCTGGACCTCGCCAAACCTCAGGGCGTGCTGAGCTGTTCGCAGTGCTGCAGGCCTTGACAGCGGGAGTGGCCCCCTGCAAATTCTCACGGACTACACGCCGCCGCTGGAGGGCATCCAGCGACGGCGACGTTGGTGCATTTCTCTTCGGCGCGAGAATATGGAGCCGGCGCTCGGCACAGGAGATGCAACGACTTGGCCGATGCGGCGGCCAAGCGGGGACGGCGCATCCACGACCTTCCTCGGGCCATCGCTGAGAGCCACAGCGACGCCCTGAAGCATGCGCGCCAAGTCTCGGCCTGGATCGGCACAGCCGCCCGCGTGGTCTTCGACGGCGCCGCGCTGCCAGACCGCGGGCAGCCCCCCTGCGCCGACGCTGGGGGCAGCAGCGGGCGGGGCAGCCAGGCGCCGCTCGCGGAGGTGCCCCCGCGCAGGCGCGCTGCGGCCTGGCGGCGAGGCCCTCGCCTTTCGCACCGCGCGCGGCGCAGGGGCCACGCGCGGCATTGTGATCATTGTTCCGCTCTCGCGGTCTCCGCCGCAGGTGCTGCGAGACTCAAGCGGGGCGCGCGCAGGGTTGCCCAGGCGGCGGCCCTCTGGGGCCTGGAGGGCGTTTCGTTTAAGGCGTCCCACGCGGCGCCTGGTTCGGCTGGTGCGGGCGATCCAGGGGCGTCTGCGGGGTCCGAGGGCCCCTCCGAGGTTAGTGCGGCGGATGGCCCCGTTGAGGCCGCCGCCGACGCGGGGGGGCCGCCGCCCCTGGCAACCGAGGGCCTTCAGGGTCTCTGGCGTTTAAGCGCCAGGAGGAGGAGCGCTGGGACGAGGACATTGAGGAGGCGGCGGGCAGGCTGGCCAAGGCCGCTCGCCCCCGAGGCTCCGCTCGCGTGCCAGGGCGGGGGGGGTGTGGGGCGCTATGGAGGATTGGTCCCGTGGCGGGCCGCGCCCGAAGGCCCCCTGGCCCCTGGCCCCGCCCCTCGCCGACGGCCCCTGTGGGCCTTCCCCCCCTGGCGGCCCTTGTGGGCCTCCGCCCTGCAAGAGGGCTCGGGCCTCTGGGGGTCCGCTGCGGGTGGTGTCCTGGGGGCCGCGCGTGATACTGTTATCCTTGTTGTTCCCCTCGGCCCTGTTGGGCCTAGCAGCGCTCGGAGACACCAGGTCCGCCTTGCTGCAGCCATCCTTGCATTATGCCTTCGGTGCGGCGCGCGGGCCCAGTCGACGGCCCCGCGCTCTCGGCTCTGGGGCCACTGCCTGGGCATGGCATCTAGTAAGGACGCCACCTATCTAAAGTCCCCCGGGGCGGGTAAGGGCCCCATTTCGGGGGAGTGGCGGGCGAACCCCCGCCCACTTCTCTCTACGGACGATGCCTGCTTGTGGTGTCGTCTTAGATGGCCCGTTTCGGGTTATTTTCCGGTCCCGTCGAGTTGCGCGTGCTCGTCCTTTTCTCTGCTCATTCTCTGTCGCTGCTGTTGCTCTGCGCACTCGTTTCGGTCTGGTTGTGCCTCATCCTCCTTCTCCTCCTCCTCCTCCCGCTCTTCCTCCTCCTCCTCCTCCTCATCCTCCTCCTCCTCCTCCTCCTCCTCCTCCTCCTCCTCCTCCTCCTCCTCCTCCTCCCCCCTCCCCCATCCTCTTCTTCCACAGCTGAGAGATGAGTGCCGTTTTGCCGACCTCCATTACATGGGGGTCCGAGCGTTCCTTGGTACGTTTTGGGGGATGGCGATGAGGAGGATTTGGGAGAATGGAGAGGGAGATGCCGCAGGAGGGAATACTGAGAAGTGGGAAGGGGGAAACGGTAAATGGTGATCTTGGCGCGGATGTTGCTGACGATGCTGCTGTTGATGATGAGGTCGAAATCGATTATGAGTATGCTTATGGTTATGATGGTTAAGGTAATCATGTTGTTGAGGATGGTGTTGATGATGATGTTAAGGGGCAGCGGTCGAGCATCTCACTCGCCTTGCCACCCGAGGTCGATGGGCATAGTGGATATCAATGCGATCATGCTTGTCGGCATCATCTGGACGGACATACCAGGGCTCGATCTAAGCTCTGTGTGTTTGACGATTTCGTGGGCCGTGTTCGTTCCGGCCTTGTTGCGCAGCAAAGGCGGAAGGACGACGAAACGGTGGAAACCGACGGCAACATGAAACCGACAAACACTGTATAGGTCAGGCCCTGGAAAATGCTGGTCGCGTCGATAGCTACGCTGACGTCCTTCCTGTGGGGGAAGCTGTACTTTGGGGAGCCCTCCGCTGACTTCGGCATGGCCCTGCTCGGCCTTGTCCTGCTGCTGTTGGGCACCTGTGTCGAAGAAGAAGAATGATAATAACCTACATGTGCATACCATTTCAGAGCTCCACAAGGGGCTCCGACAAGATCCCTAGTAAGGATGCGCCGCTCCATCCAGGCTACCCTCGCATCCCTGCTTCTTCGGGCCGCCCTGCGCCGATGTTGACGCCCAGGGAACTCCGACTGGTGAGCGGGGCTTCCTCGACGGAGGGAGGGAGGGGGGAGGGGGAGGATGAGGAGGAGGAGGAGGAGGAGGAGGAGCAGGAGGAGGGGGGAGGTGAATGGGGCTTCGAAAGGTGTTGCAGCCTGACCTTGCCTCCTCACTGAGGGCTTGGACTGTACTGTCACTGTGCGCCCCGTGCCGGGCTGCTCCTTGTTGTGGTCTTTCCCCCGTCGTTGTTGCGGCCTCTGCGCAGAACGCCCCCCCCCTGGAGAGTTCCAGACCCCGAGATACGCAGCGCAGGACGCACCTCCCCCTCCCCCTCCTCCTCTTCCTCCTCCTCCTCCTCTCTCCTCCTCCTTCTCCTCCTCCTCCTCTTTCTTCTCCTCCTTCTTTTCCTACTCCTCTTCCTCCTCCTCCTCCCCCTCCTACCCTCCTCTCCTCCTCCTCCTCCTCCTCCTCCCTCCTCCTCCTCTCCTCCTCCTCCTCCTCCTCTCCTCCTCCTCCTCCTCCCCCTCCTCCTCTCCTCCTCCTCCCTCCTCCTCCTCCTCACATCATCATCACATCATCATCATCAGCATCAGCATCATCATCATCATCATCCTCCTCCTCCTCCTCCTCCTCCTCCTCTCCTCCTCCTCCTCCTGCTCTTTCTCCTCTTTCCCCTCCTGCTTCTCCTCCTCCTTCCCCTTCCTCCTCCTTATCTTCCTTTCCTCCCCTTCTCCTTTTCCCTCCTCCTCCTCCTTCTTCTCCTTCTCCCCCTCCTCCTCCTCCTCCTCCTCCTCCTCCTCCTCGTCCTCTTTCTCCTTCTACTCCTCCTCCTCCTCCTCCTCCTCCTCCTCCTCCTTCTCCTCCTCTTTCTCCTCCTCCTCCTTCTCATCCTCCCCCTCCTCCTCCTCCTCCTTCTCCTCCTCGTACTGCTCCCCCTCCTCCCCCTCATGCTCCTCCTACTCCTACTCCTCCTGCTCCTCCTCCTCCTCTTCCTACCCCTCCCCCTTCTCCTCTTCCTCCTCCTCCTCCTCCTTCTCCTCCTCCTCCTCCTCCTCCCCCTCCTCCTCCCCCTCCTGCTTCTCCTCCTCCTCCTCCTTCTCCTCCTCCTTCTTCTCCTCCTGCTCCTCCCGGTCCTCCTCCTTCTTCCCCTCCCCCTCCTCCTCCGCCCTCCAGGCACCTGCTCGCTCTCGGTGCTCCTCGCCTCGCGCGTGCGGACGCTGCCGACGCCGGCACGGACAGCGGCCAGCGCGGCCGAGGCTGAGGATACCCAACCGGAGGGCAGAGCGCCCGAGTTGGCTGGCCAGATGGGCGTTGTCGGCTTTTAGGGAGAGGAGGGGTCCCAGACCTCCTCGCGCTGTGGAAAAGAATTACGCCGAGAGGTGTTTCGCTGTGTTCGGCCTGAAGGGCCTCGGGGCCGTCAAAAACTGGTCCCGGGAGGAGGAGGTCCAGATCTCTGCGGGTCGACGTTGCGTAAAAATGACGACGTCGGGAGCCTGGGGAGGGAGCAGGGGGGAGGTAGGCAACCTAGGTGCGCTCGCGTCATATCTGACGTCCTACCCTTCTCTCCCATCATTCACAATGGCGTGGATCAGATGTAGTCGGATGTTGGCAGGACAGGGCAGGTAGGGGAGGGCAGAAGACAGCATGGGAGGGGTTTGGGTGGGCCCAGGGCAGGGGGGATGGCGAGGAGAAGGGCGGGGCGGGGTACCAGGCTGGAGTTCCGCCCCCCCTCACGCCTGCCCTTCTTTGGCCTTCCCTCCTGGAAGCTCTGTCCTCCGGCCGTGCCGATGCGGGCATGGGCAAGGTGGTCCTGGGCCTGACCTGTACCGCGCTCGCGGGCGTGGCAGGACGTCGTCCAAGGTGAGGAGGAGGACGAGGAGGAGGAGGGGGAGGAGGAGGAGGGATCAAGGCAAAGAGGAGGAGGAGGAGGAGGAGGAAGAGGAGGAGGAGGAGGAGGAGGAGGAGGAGGAGGGGGAAGGAGGAGGGGGAGGAGGAGAAGGAGAAGGAGGAGGAGTACGAGAAGGAGGAGGAGAAGGAGGAGGCAGAAAGAGGAGGAAAAGAGTATGGGAAGGATGAGGAGGAGGAGGAGGAGAAGGAGGAGGAGGAGGAGGAGGAGGAGGGCGGAGGAGGAGTACCGCGGCACGGACGAGGAGGCGCGGAGCTGTTGGAGCGGGCGGGGGAGGATGAGCAGGAGGAGACAGAGATGGGGGATTTTGATGAGAATGTCGGTGAGACGGAGGAGGCGGAGCAATGGAATGTAGGGAGAGGAAGGCGTGGGGCGGGCGGACGACGACGACGACGACACCGACGACGACACCGACGACGACGATGACCACGATGATGATGATGCTGATGATGATGGTGATGATGATGATTATGATGATGGTGGTGACGAGGATGAGGATGACGACGATGAAGACGATGAAGACGATGACGACGATGATGCTGATGGTGATGATGCTGATGATGATGGTGACGATGATGCTGATGATGATGCTGATGTTGATGATGCTGCTGCTGATGATGATGATGATGTTGCTGATGATGATGATACTGACGAGGATGACGGTGATATTGATCATGCTGAGGAGGATCAGGTTGGGAATGAGGAGGATGATGATGGGCCTGAGGATGTTGGTGATGCTGCAGAACGCGATGCTGGTGATGGTGCTGCTCTCCTGGTGGTGAACGTGCCGTTGGTATATACTGCTGCGATGCTGCTGGATATGATGGCTATGATGCTGATGATGATGCTGATGGTGATGATGATGAGGATGATGATTAGGATGATAATGATAACGATGCTGATAGTGATGATGCTGGTGCTGATGATGATGCCGACGCTGACGATGCCGATGTTGATGATGATGATGGTGATGATGACGACGATGACGATGATGATGCAGCTGCTGATCATGATGAGAGTGTTGAGGGCAATGGCTGCCAAGGACGATGATCATGAGGAGCAGGAGGAGGAGGAGACCATAGATGAGGAGACGTAAGGGCGATGGGGAAGAATAGGCTGGGGTCTTTTTGGGGTGAGGGGTCAGATTTTGAGAGTGGTGGGGGGGCATGCAGGATGAGGATGAGGCATCACAAGAGGACGATCATGATCTGAAGGCGGAGGCCGAGGAGGACGCCACTCTTCGAGGTCGATCCAGCATGAGCAGTAACTTGACGATGAGGTGGTGGAAGGGTTGGAGAAATGGAGGGGAGGAAATCTGATGAACGTTATGTCTGATCACCAGAAGTGTTTGAGTAGTTTTGGCTTTAAGAGGCGATCGGAACCACTAGACTCGCCCCCCCCAAGTGCAGCATTCAGATTCCCAAGCCGAGCCACATCTTGCGCACTGGTCGCAAACAGTTCCAGGCTCAACGCACGACGTTTTCACTCCGCAGCTGTTACTTCCAAGAGCAGCAGAGCTACACCGGTAGAGACGTGCCAGCCCAAAGCTGTGTTGTCCCATGTAGCAGAAAGTTGAGAACGAACGGGTGACGAGCATGGCACTGGCGCTGTATGAGGAAGGCTTCCCGAGAGAAGCTCACACTTCTTTGGTAGCCCCGGCTGAGAATTGTGGCAGACGTAGACGCGGGGGGAGAAGGAGGGAGAGGTTGAGGATAGGATGATGAATGGGGGGGCGGGAGGGGCAGGAGGAGGGAGCGGAGGGGCATCAGAAGGAGGACCCAGACGATGGCAACACCCAAGGAGGAGGAGGAGGAGGAGGAGGAGGAGGAGGAGGAGGAGGAGAGGAGGAGGAGGAGGAGGAGGGCTTGGTCAGGCGAAAGAGCAGCAGCAGGAGGAGCAGACGGGAGAGGAACGAGCGGAGGAGGACGAGGAGGCGACGCATCTACGGAGGTGGAGGAGCGAGGAGGAGGAGGGATAATATTTGAGGAGGAGGAGGAGGACAAGGAGGAGGAGGAGGAGGAGGAGGAGGTGGAGGAGGTGCAGGAGGAGGAGGAGGAGGAAGAGGAGGAGAAGGAGGAGGAGGAGGGGGAAGACTGGCGTGTGGGACCAGCGTGTGGAAATGGAGGAGGGGCCGGACCAGCAGCAGGCGGAGGAGGAGCGGGAGGGATTTGGAAACCTTTGGACCGAGCCGGACCAGCAGCAGGCGGAGGAGGAGCGGGAGGGATTTGGAAACCTCCGGACCCGGACGTTTGCCGATGTGACTTGTTTGAATCCGCGGCCCATGAGGTTCCGATTGGGATACAGTCGAACCGTGGTATAAGATCGAGTTCGGCTCGGGGAGGGTACCCTCGTGTTCTTCGTGTTTGTTGGATGTTCTTGTGCTTCCTGGGGGAGTGTACCCTCGAATGCTCTTCATTTTGGCCTGCGGATGGTCTCATATTTTTGAAGGGTGTTCCTCTGGCCTAGGTCCGACTGCAGTCTTTCGCCCTAGATCAATGCTTGATGGTCCTGGGGCCAGAACAAAAAAAGGCACCCCAGGGGCCGGGATCCAAGAAGAACCGCAGCCGGGACTGACAACTTTATATTGGATTTGGGGAGGAGGCAGCTGCTTCCCCATCAACAAGCTGCAGCCGGCGAGCCAGCAGGGCATCTCCTTCGTCTGGGCCCAGGGTCTGGGCGTGCTGCTGGCCCAGGGCGGCGTGACCCTGGTGGCGCTGGGCCTGGATGTGCTGGCTGCAGCGGGTGCGCAGGGGAGGATGGGGAGGAGGAGGGGGAGCACCAGTTCGGTTGGACCTAGCCTTTCACTTGTATACTGCCTGGAATGCGGTGCGCAAAGATCGGTCGGGACAGATCACGCCACAGCAGGCGAGTTCGGTCTTCGGCACGGCCATGCATCAGGTGTCCAGGCCACTTTCTTCTGCGAGCTGAGAGGCCAGGACTGCCCCGCGGCTACGCTCGAGGAGGAGGGGGAGGAGGATCAGGATCAAATTGAAAAAAACAGCGTTTGAGACGCATGCGGGATGATTCCCCGTTGTTCACCATGTCGCTCGTTCTCTGGAGCGGCTCAAAAGGTCTGAGTGACACAGAACAAGAGGCCCGCGGCACTAGTGCAGAGCCAGAAAGCGCGCGACCGCTCGGACCATCGAGCTACACACTACGTATCGATGAGTGCTCTGGGAACTCCGGATCTCCCTGGCGGTCCATCCCGCCTGCGCTCTCCGGGCCGGGGCCAGTCTCCGGCCCCCATGGCGCCCCCCCGCAGCCAGTGCTCCTCCGAACCCGCAGCCCTCCCGTTGCCAGTTCGGCCCTCGCTACGGTGGCAGCGGGGGGCTCCACAGATCGCCGGACCACGCTCGGACGGGGCCACAGCGAGGACGAAGCTGTTCCGGAGCGTTACGGAACGCCTTCGGAGCGTTCTGGATTGCTTCGAGAAGGCCGCGGCGCCCGAGACTTCTTCCGGATCCGCGGGATCTCAGAGGGTCTCGATTGATCTTCGTCCGAATTTTATCCTCGTCCTGGCATCGTCTTACACGTCCCTCGAAACGCAACAAAAACTGCTCGAGCATAAGCCGTTGGCGGTCCTCGCGGATTCCTGGGGGCTGCCCCTGGCTCCCCCTTATGGCGGCGCTCCGCGCGCCAGGGAGGGGGGCCCAGCGCCGATGCAAGGTGCCCGCGCGGACCTCCGAGGAGTTGAGGAAGTCTTTGTCCGAGGTGGGAGCTTATACGTGACCACCGCCTGGAGGATCAGTGTTCGGGGCCTCGGCAGGCGGTGGATGTGGACATGTTCGGCCCCACGGGTGCCGAAATACATCGATACCCACCGCTTGCTTGGGCACCAGGACGCCGGCTCCCAGGCGGTGGATGTGGATAAATCCCCGCCTCGCACTTTGGATCCCGTCGCGCGATGCTTGCAGTGCGACGCGGAGTACCTGGAGCCCGCGAGGAAGGCCGGCGGCCTCGGTGCGCCTCCCCCTGCCTGCGCGCACGGGACCAGTCGGCGCGCGCCCGCCGTTGAGGCGCGCGCGAGCCTGGCGCCCCGCCTCGGAATCGTGCGGCATTTCTGGTCGGCGGCGCGCCCGGGGGGAAAGCGGAAGTGAGAACGGGGCGGGCCTTCGCAGAGGGCGACGGGGGGCGTTCCGGAAACCCTCCCGCCTCCTGCGGAGTGTTCTGCACCCTCGGGGAAGGCTGAGAAGGATGCCCAGATGGCCCGAGGCCTTCCGAGCCTTCAAAGGAGGCCCGCACCTCCTCACTTTCCCTTCAATTTCGCCGCCCTGCCCATGCCCACTGCTCCTGCTCCTGCTCCTGATCCTGCTTCTCCTCCTGATGAGGATGAAGATGCTCACGGGGAGGGGAGGGGAAGAAGAGGAGGACGTGGAGGGGGAGGGGGGAGTCGGTGGAGTAGTATAGGGAGAGGCCGAGGACGAAGATGAACGGCTCTAGGAGGATGCGGAGGAGGTGTGTGCCGAGGAGGTGAATGGTAAGAAAAGGATGTGGTGCTGGATCAGACTTGTATGGGGGACGAAGTGATGGGCGAAAACGAGGAGAAGGCGGGGGAGGAGAAAGAACGATGAGGCACGGCGAGGGGCAGAAGGATAGACGAGGGGATGATGGGGGTTGGCGGGGGTTGGGGGCAGGAGGACCAGGACGAATACGAGGACGAGAATGAGGAAACGGTTGAGATCCAGATGGGTGGGGACAACATGGAGCATGGTGGAAGGAGGAGGAGGAGGAGGAGGGGGAGGAGGAGGAGGAGCAGCAGCAAGAGGACAGCAAGTATACTAATGAGAGCGAGGGTGAGGATGATGGGAGAGGGGGACGGCAAAGGGGACGAGGAGGTGAAGCGAAAGGAGTAGGAGGGGGTAGGGCGACATGGCCTGCGAGGCAGAGTAGGAAGAGACAGGAATTGGACGAGGAGAGGAAGCACGCAGGGGAAATAAGGCCCAGGAATGATGAGGATTATGAGGAGGACGATGCTGCTGATGATGTGGACGTTGATGATACTGACGACGCCGATGAGGTTGATAATGTTGTTGGTAATGATAATGGGGAGGAGGATGTTGAGGATGATGCGGATGATGAGGATGTTGATGATGATGGTGCTTATGTTGGTGATGATGATGTTGATGATGGTCGTGATGATGATG